ACAGTGGCTACAAGACAGAGGATACTACAGTGGCTACAAGACAGAGGATACTACAGTGGCTACAAGACAGAGGATACTACAGTGGCTACAAGACAGAGGATACTACAGTGGCTACAAGACAGAGGATACTACTGCGGCTACAAGACAGAGGATACTACTGCGGCTACAAGACAGAGGATACTACTGCGGCTACAAGACATAGGATACTACTGTGGCTACAAGACAGAGGATACTACTGTGGCTACAAGACAGAGGATACTACTGTGGCTACAAGACAGAGGATACTACTGTGGCTACAAGACAGAGGATACTACTGTGGCTACAAGACAGAGGATACTACTGTGGCTACAAGACAGAGGATACTACTGCGGCTACAAGACAGAGGATACTACTGTGGCTACAAGACAGAGGATATTACTGTGGCTACAAGACAGAGGATACTACTGTGGCTACAAGACAGAGGATACTACTGTGGCTACAAGACAGAGGATACTACTGTGGCTACAAGACAGAGGATACTACTGCGGCTACAAGACAGAGGATACTACTGCGGCTACAAGACAGAGGATACTACTGCGGCTACAAGACAGAGGATACTACTGCGGCTACAAGACAGAGGATACTACTGTGGCTACAAGACAGAGGATACTACTGCGGCTACAAGACAGAGGATACTACTGCGGCTACAAGACAGAGGATACTGTGGCTACAAGACATAAGATACTGCGGCTACAAGACAGAGGATACTGCGGCTACAAGACAGAGGATACTGCGGCTACAAGACAGAGGATACTGCGGCTACAAGACAGAGGTTACTGCGGCTACAAGACAGAGGATACTGCGGCTACAAGACAGAGGATACTGCGGCTACAAGACAGAGGATACTACTGTGGCTACAAGACAGAGGATACTACTGTGGCTACAAGACAGAGGATACTACTGTGGCTACAAGACAGATGATACTACTGTGGCTACAAGACAGAGGATACTACTGTGGCTACAAGACAGAGTATACTACTGCGGCTACAAGACAGAGGATACTGTGGCTACAAGACAGAGTATACTGTGGCTACAAGACAGAGGATACTGTGGCTACAAGACAGAGGATACTGTGGCTACAAGACAGAGGATACTGTGGCTACAAGACAGAGGATACTGTGGCTACAAGACAGAGTATACTGTGGCTACAAGACAGAGGATACTGCGGCTACAAGACAGAGGATACTGCGGCTACAAGACAGAGGATACTACTGTGGCTACAAGACAGAGGATACTACTGCGGCTACAAGACAGAGGATACTACTGCGGCTACAAGACAGAGGATACTGTGGCTACAAGACATAAGATACTGCGGCTACAAGACAGAGGATACTGCGGCTACAAGACAGAGGATACTGTGGCTACAAGACAGAGGATACTGCGGCTACAAGACAGAGGATACTGCGGCTACAAGACAGAGGATACTGCGGCTACAAGACAGAGGTTACTGCGGCTACAAGACAGAGGATACTGCGGCTACAAGACAGAGGATACTGCGGCTACAAGACAGCGGATACTGCGGCTACAAGACAGAGGATACTACTGTGGCTACAAGACAGAGGATACTACTGTGGCTACAAGACAGAGGATACTACTGTGGCTACAAGACAGAGGATACTACTGTGGCTACAAGACAGAGTATACTACTGCGGCTACAAGACAGAGGATACTGTGGCTACAAGACAGAGTATACTGTGGCTACAAGACAGAGGATACTGTGGCTACAAGACAGAGGATACTGTGGCTACAAGACAGAGGATACTGCGGCTACAAGACAGAGGATACTGCGGCTACAAGACAGAGGATACTGCGGCTACAAGACAGAGGATACTGCGGCTACAAGACAGAGGATACTGCGGCTACAAGACAGAGGATACTGCGGCTACAAGACAGAGGATACTGCGGCTACAAGACAGAGGATACTGCGGCTACAAGACAGAGGATACTGTGGCTACAAGACAGAGGATACTGTGGCTACAAGACAGAGGATACTGTGGCTACAAGACAGAGTATACTGTGGCTACAAGACAGAGGATACTGCGGCTACAAGACAGAGGATACTGTGGCTACAAGACAGAGTATACTGTGGCTACAAGACAGAGGATACTGCGGCTACAAGACAGAGGATACTGTGGCTACAAGACAGAGTATACTGTGGCTACAAGACAGAGGATACTGCGGCTACAAGACAGAGGATACTGTGGCTACAAGACAGAGTATACTGTGGCTACAAGACAGAGGATACTGCGGCTACAAGACAGAGGATACTGCGGCTACAAGACAGAGGATACTGTGGCTACAAGACAGAGTATACTGTGGCTACAAGACAGAGGATACTGCGGCTACAAGACAGAGGATACTGTGGCTACAAGACAGAGTATACTGTGGCTACAAGACAGAGGATACTGCGGCTACAAGACAGAGGATACTGTGGCTACAAGACAGAGTATACTGTGGCTACAAGACAGAGGATACTGCGGCTACAAGACAGAGGATACTGCGGCTACAAGACAGAGGATACTACTGTGGCTACAAGACAGAGGATACTGTGGCTACAAGACAGAGGATACTGTGGCTACAAGACAGAGGATACTGTGGCTACAAGACAGAGTATACTGTGGCTACAAGACAGAGGATACTGCGGCTACAAGACAGAGGATACTGTGGCTACAAGACAGAGTATACTGTGGCTACAAGACAGAGGATACTGCGGCTACAAGACAGAGGATACTGTGGCTACAAGACAGAGTCTACAAGGATACAGATGTAGGATCTTTATTTGAGCCAGTTTGCTACAGCAGGGAGTGTTGTGTGGATTGAGCAACAAAGTAAAGGTAATGTGTTGAAAGGAAAGTGTTCAACAAAAGTAAAGCAACTAAATGTTGAGCTGAGCTGTGATGTTGTGATGGAAACACTTTGGTGTACACACACACAGACACACACACACACACACACACACACACACACACACACACACACACACAGTATATCAGCTATATCTGCTGCTGTGTCCTTGTTTTCTGATTGGTTATGTAATTCAGTTTGACACAGTAATTAAATGAAGGAAGCAGTAACCATTTCCTTCCTGTTTTCTCTATTTATCATAATCTACTGCTCTGCACAATGCCTCCTCCATTAGCACATACCACTGTAAACCATGCCTCCTCCATTACCACATACCACTGTAAACCATGCCTCCTCCATTACCACATACCACTGTAAACCATGCCTCCTCCATTACCACATACCACTGTAAACCATGCCTCCTCCATTACCACATACCCCTGTAAACCATGCCTCCTCCATTACCACATACCACTGTAAACCATGCCTCCTCCATTACCACATACCACTGTAAACCAATGCCTCCTCCATTACCACATACCACTGTAAACCATGCCTCCTCTATTACCACATACCACTGTAAACCATGCCCCCCTCCATTACCACATACCACTGTAAACCATGCCTCCTCCATTACCACATACCACTGTAAACCATGCCTCCTCCATTACCACATACCACTGTAAACCAATGCCTCCTCCATTACCACATACCACTGTAAACCATGCCTCCTCCATTACCACATACCACTGTAAACCATGCCTCCTCCATTACCACATACCACTGTAAACCAATGCCTCCTCCATTACCACATACCACTGTAAACCACGCCTCCTCCATTACCACATACCACTGTAAACCAATGCCTCCTCCATTACCACATACCACTGTAAACCATGCCTCCTCCATTACCACATACCACTGTAAACCATGCCCCCTCCATTACCACATACCACTGTAAACCATGCCTCCTCCATTACCACATACCACTGTAAACCATGCCTCCTCCATTACCACATACCACTGTAAACCATGCCTCCTCCATTAGCACATACCACTGTAAACCATGCCTCCTCCATTACCACATACCACTGTAAGGACATATAAATAAGTTAAAAGAACTCAATGACTTTCATTCTGGAGGAAACTGTAAAGATATATACATAGATGTTAGATATATACATAGATGTTAGTTTTGGTTTATGTTGAGCCCACCAGTCCCTGACTTTGTCCAAATAATTGCATTACTTGCTCTGACATATTTACAATGTCATTTCCTTTTATTGATATTATCTTTATTAAAAATGAAAAAGACACAAAAAAGTGACATTTCAAATCCGCTCCATAAATAGGATCTATTCATTACCAAACAACCATTTATAATGTTGAAACTAAGTTTACAGAATCTCCTCTTGCTCTAAATATGATTTATCTGGTGTTTTGTACATATAAATGCTTATTCAAGGATCTGTAGGCATATGCATTTCTCATACTCTGGCATCTCTAATGAATAACTCTGTTCTGTGAGCATTAGCCTTGACACTGTCTCTTCTAGTGTGATAAAAAGAAACTGATCAACAAAGTTGAGTGCTATTTTCGTTATCACAAAGCTGTGAGACTGCTCTTTACTGATTAATGTAAGAGATTACTGTGGAAGACTTATCGTGAGAAAATTGAATGGGGGCTTTTGGAGGAACCCAATTTGTCTTTATAAACAGTATTGTTGATATTACATCATTTTCAAAAGTACTTAAATATCTAAGCATTCACAAACCAGGCTACTTTACAGTTTATATTACTTTACAGTTAATATTACTTTACATAACATTCTTGTTTGTTGCTTTTGAAATTGTACTCAACTGATGGAATCAAAACAAGTATTTAATTAACATAATAATTGTATAATTGTTTAAAAAATATAATTATTTTGAAAAAGTGAGGATTGCATTGACACAAACCTTTTGTCAGTCAATAAAAACATTATACACAATCAATAGTGTGTATTCAGGCTCTTATCCATAGATAACAGTACCCTTGCAGCCTTTTCTTTCTCCTGACACCATTCCACTGAATCACCCTGTTCTTTTGTCGTCTGCTACCATCTAGTGGTCCTTCCCGGTATAAACCCTGCTTGACTGTTCCGGGGTGGAACATACGAAACGTAATTGTGTTTGTCCTCCGCGGTGTTCCGTAGTCGGGGGCTCACAGATAGGTTTCTGAAAACACAGCGTATTGTTGGTTAGTTTGTTTGGTTCGCTAGTAAATTGTACTTTGGTAGGGAATTGTGCAAGTGCACAATCTTACCAGTAAATTAATTTATTACAATGGCATACCAGCTCTACAGAAATACGACGCTAGGAAACAGTCTGCAAGAGAGCCTTGACGAGCTGATTCAGGTAAGCTAGCGGCTATGCTAGCTTCCAAGCTAACGCTAGCTAGATAATTAGCTATCTGGTTGCACTGCTGTTTGGGATAGCAAATTAAGTTAGCGAGGTAATTATGAAGACACGTTATCCATCGTTAACTTCGTTATCTCCAAGGCGTTATCTTTCACGAGAAATAACGGGTTAGTTAGCTAGTTACATTATCGTCTTCGATATCGCTAGCTAACTAGTTAGCCACGCTAAACAAGAAGCGTCTCCATAAATGGCTGTGGTGACGTCTGATTTGAAGAAGCTAGATCACAAGCTAAAATATGAGCCCGAGAAAGCTCTAATTTGCAGGCTCAGTTTTGATTAGCTAAATTAAGATGGCTAATGTGTTTCCCCGAAGTCAGTAGTGATGAGTATTTGGATTCACTACATTTGCAATGCTAGTAACTGGCTCGTTAGTTAGCTAGTATCCGCGCATGCGCCGACTAGCTCAGTAAATTCGTGATTTCTGGTTCAAGCCTCCCTCCAACACTTCTTAATAACTAGCTACAATACTTTACCAGCTACTGTTAGCTACTCATCTGAAAACAGTAGCACGGTATATTTCTTACAATGTTCACTTGAGTCATGATTAAATGGAAAAAACGGTTTACCTATTTTCTAGACCCAACAGATCACTCCCCAGTTAGCACTTCAGGTTCTCCTCCAGTTTGACAAAGCCATCAACACGGCACTGGCCAACCGGGTTCGCAACAGGGTCAACTTTAAGGTGAGTACTGGGTTGTATTCACTAGGAAGCAAACGGAATGAGGAAGAGACCTGAATTTGTCCAATAGAAACTCTATTTTTCGTTGCCAAACACAACTGTTTGCAATTGTTTGGACTAATTACTACTCCCCTGTTTGCACCTACCATAAAAAAGGACAAGGGCTGGTACAGGGACAGGCTTTCTCTCCAGCCAAAGCAATATCACGCTGATTCAACAAAGTCTGTATTGAAGGTTATGGTTAAATCAAATCAAAGTTTATTTGTCACGTACACAGTATAAACGGTGCAGCAAAATGCTTACTTGCAAGCTCCCTCAACGGTGCAGTACAATATCAATATAATCAAAGTCAAATAAAACAATTACAAGCAGTAGAAGAAAGTAGTAGAACTTATATGTACACAACTGGTTAGTTGAAACAGATGTGACTGTTTTGGCTGGAGCAAAAAGCCTTCACCCACAACGCAGGTCTTGCAGATAAGCTTGGCCATCCCTGGTTGAAAATGAGCTGAAATCATAGCTGGACCTTTGTACACCTGTGATGCGTTAACATTCTCTCGCCTCTAGGGGTCACTAAACACCTATAGATTCTGTGACAACGTGTGGACCTTCGTTCTGAATGATGTGGAGTTCAGGGAGGTGACGGATCTGGTCAAGGTGGACAAAGTCAAGATAGTCGCCTGCGATGGGAAAAGTAGGATCACTTTTTTTTATCTCTCAGGCCTTTTCTCTTCATCAAACAGACTAGATTGTCTTTTTATATTTGGAAGCGACATGTGCAAAGTTAATTACTATTTCTCACAATTACTATTTAGACCACCCGTGCAGATTCTCATTTGAAATTCACCATTTATTCCCATACTAACCTGAACAGCTTCTTTTCTCTTATCAGACACTGGAAACGCTGCAGAGTGAACGGAAGACGATGGCGTCAGCTGAGACGTTACTGACGAAGAAGAGGGTGGAGAGACCACCGTATGTCACAGACAGACAGGACTGTATATATATAATTTATGACAGTAATTTCTGTAAAGAAGATACCCTTAAACCCCTTTTGTGTGTATATGACCATCTGAATCAATGGGAGTGATCAAGGAAAGGGTGAATGGACCAGTCAAGGCCTTGGATATTGCTTGCATGTTTTTTTTGTTTTTTTTTTAATAAATAAATGAGTTTCTTAGAACTGCCTTTTCAGTTTAGTTACTGTTGTTGAGCTTGTTAACCTTTAATAAACTTTTATTTAAAATATGGAGACTGATTATTTCTGGGGGGGGGGGGGGGACTGCATTTGAAACAGGCGTCGTGTCACTGTGTTTTTTTTTATTTTTAAACAGTATAGCTTCCTTCCTCACTCGTCCTCAACGGAGTGATCTTGGATCCTCTGCACCTAAACACACGTGACCGTCCTCTTGACAACGTCTTGCTCTATAAAGGCTCTGCTTCAACTGAAATGGCTGCTGATGGACTTGTATCGCTCTCCACTGTCTGTGTTCTTTGGTTAGAAGCTTATCAAATGTTATTGATCGCATACACGTTTATGTTATTGCGGGTGAAGCTAAATGCTTGTGTTCCGAGCTCCAACAGCGCAGTAATATCTAACAATATAAACAAATCTAAAAGGAAAATAATTGCGTTAAGAAATATATAAATATTAGGATGAAGCAATGTCTGAGTCCGGAGTATAATATGTGTGTGATTGGAATGTATAGACATTATGGACGGTACGTGGATAGAATATGTAGCATATCTGAAGAATACGTGGCTAGAATAGTGTATATATTATTATATATATATATATAAACTCAGCAAAAAAATAAACGTCCCTTTTTCAGGACCGTCTTTAAAAGGTAATTCATAAAAATCCAAATAACTTCACAGATCTTTCATTGTAAAGGGTTTAAACACTTTCCCATTCTTGTTCAATGAACCATAAACAATTAATGAACATGCACCTGTGGAACGGTCGTTAAGACACTAACAGCTTACAGACGGTAGGCAATTTAGCTCACAGTTATGAAAACTTAGGACACTAAAGAGGCCTTTCTAATGACTCTGAAAAACACCAAAAGAAAGATGCCCAGGGTCCCTGCTCATCTGCGTGAACGTGCCTTAGGCATGCTGCAACGAGGCATGAGGACTGCAGATGTGGCCAGGGCAATAAATTGCAAAGTCCGTACTGTGAGATACCTAAGACAGCGCTACAGGGAGACAGGACGTACAGCTGATCATCCTCGCAGTGGCAGACCACGTGTAACAACACCTGCACAGGATCGGTACATCCGAACATCACACCTGCGGGACAGGTACAGGATGGCATCAACAACTGCCAGAGTTACACCAGGAACTCACAATCCCTCCATCAGTGCTCAGACTGTCTGCAATAGGCTGAGAGAGGCTGGACTGAGGGCTTGTAGGCCTGTTGTAAGGCAGGTCCTCACCAGACATCACTGGCAACAACGTCGCTGGACCAGACAGGACTGGCAAAAAGTGCTCTTCACTGACGAGTCGCGGTTTTGTCTCACCAGGGGTGATGGTCGGATTCGCGTTTATCGTCGAAGGAAAGAGCGTTACACCGAGGCCTGTACTCAGGAGCGGGATCGATTTGGAGGTGGAGGGTACATCATGGTCTGGGGCGGTGTGTCACAGCATCATCGGACTGAGCTTGTTGTCATTGCAGGCAATCTCAACGCTGTGCGTTACAGGGAAGACACCCTCCTCCCTCATGTGGTACCCTTCCTGCAGGCTCATCCTGACATGACCCTCCAGCATGACAATGCCACCAGCCATACTGCTCGTTCTGTGCGTGATTTCCTGCAAGACAGAAATGTCAGTGTTCTGCCATGGCCAGCGAAGAGTCCGGATCTCAATCCCATTGAGCATGTCTGGGACCTGTTGGATCGGAGGGTGAGGGCTAGGGCCATTCCCCCCAGAAATGTCAGGGAACTTGCAGGTGCCTTGGTGAAAGAGCGGGGTAACATCTCACAGCAAGAACCGGCAAATCTGGTGCAGTCCATGAGGAGGAGATGCACTGCAGTACTTAATGCAGCTGGTGGCCACACCAGATACTGACTGTTACTTTTGACTTTGACCCCCCCTTTGTTCAGGGACACATTATTCAATTTCTGTTAGTCACATGTCTGTGGAACTTGTTCAGTTTGTGTCTCAGTTGTTGAATCTTGTTATGTTCATACAAATATTTACACATGTTAAGTTTGCTGAAAATAAACGCAGTTGACAGTGAGAGGACGTTTCATTTTTTGCTGAGTTTATATATACAGCAACAGTTGAATAGGATGGCATTGACTAGAATACAGTATATACATATGAAAGAAGCACTACAGGGCGATAGTCATTTAGTTCAGTTATATACAGTGAGGGGAAAAAAGTATTTGATCCCCTGCTGATTTTGTACGTTTGCCCACTGACAAAGACATGATCAGTCTATAATTTTAATGGTAGGTTTATTTGAACAGTGAGAGACAGAGGGATTTTGTTCCACTCCTCTTTGCAGATCTTCTCCAAGTCATTAAGGTTTCGAGGCTGACGTTTGGCAACTCGAACCTTCAGCTCCCTCCACAGATTTTCTATGGGATTAAGGTCTGGAGACTGACTAGGCCACTCCAGGACCTTAATGTGCTTCTTCTTGAGCCACTCCTTTGTTGCCTTGGCCGTGTGTTTTGGGTCATTGTCATGCTGGAATACCCATCCACGACCCATTTTCAATGCCCTGGCTGAGAGAAGGAGGTTCTCACCCAAGATTTGACATGGCCTCGTCCATCGTGCCTTTGATGCGGTGAAGTTCTCCTGTCCCCTTAGCAGAAAAACACCACCAAAGCATAATGTTTCCACCTCCATGTTTGACGGTGGGGATGGTGTTCTTGGGGTCATAGGCAGCATTCCTCCTCCTCCAAACACAGCGAGTTGAGTTGATGCCAAAGAGCTCGATTTTGGTCTCATCTGACCACAACACTTTCACCCAGTTCTCCTCTGAATCATTCAGATGTTCATTGGCAAACTTCAGACGGCCTGTATATTGACTTGGAGAAGATCTGCAAAGAGGAGTGGAACAAAATCCCTCCTGAGATGTGTGCAAACCTGGTGGCCAACTACAAGAAACGTCTGACCTCTGTGATTGCCAACAAGGGTTTTGCCACCAAGTACTAAGTCATGTTTTGCAGAGGGGTCAAATACTTATTTCCCTCATTAAAATGCAAATCAATTCATAACATTTTTGACATGCGTTTTTTCTGGATTTTGTTGTTGTGATTCTGTCTCTCACTGTTCAAATAAACCTACCATTAAAATTATAGACTGATCATGTCTTTGTCAGTGGGCAAACGTTACAAAATCAGCAGGGGGATCAAATACTTCTTTCCCTCACTGTAATGTGCTTTCTTGAGCAGGGGGACCTTGCGGGCGCTGCAGGATTTTAGGAGCACTCCCTTTAAGAGTGTGCTCCTAATCTCAGCTCGTTACCTGTATAAAAGACACCTGGGAGCCAGAAATCTTTCCGATTGAGAGGGGGTCAAATACTTATTCCCTCATTAAAATGCAACCCTTTAAACCCCCTTTTTGTGGGTATATGACCATCTGAATCAATGGGAGTGATCAAGGAAAGGGTGAATGGCCCAGTCAAGGCCTTGGATATTGCTTGCATGTTTTTTTTTTTTTTTTTTTTTTTTTTTTAAATAAATAAACTGCCTTTCAGTTTAGTTACTGTTGTTGAGCTTGTTAACCTTTAATAAACTTTTTATTTAAAATATGGAAAACTGATTATTCTGGGGGGGGGGACTGCATTTGAAAAAACAGGCGTCGTGTCACTGTTTTTTTTTTTTTTTTAAAACAGATGCTTTCCTTCCTCACTCATCCTAAACGGAGTAAATCTTGGATCCTCTGCACCTAAACACACGTGACCGTCCTCTTGATAACTTTCTTGCTCTATAAAGGCTCTGCTTCAACTGAAATGGCTGCTGATGGATTTGTATCGCTCTCCACGTCTGTGTTCTTTGGTTAAAAGCTTATCAAATGTTTTTGATCGCATACACGTTTATGTTATCAATTCATCATACATGTTTGCCATGCGTTTTTTTTCTAGATTTATTTGTTGTTATTCTGTCTCTCACTGTTCAAATAAACCTTCCATTAAAATTATAGACTGATCATTTCTTTGTCAGTGGGCAAACGTACAAAATCAGCAGGGGATCAAATACTTTTTTCCCCTCACTGTACAATGGGTTGTACAAAGGCATTGGTACCACAATGCTGCTGCGGTGATTGGTCCCATACTATATATGCTGTAGCCAGTTCTTCCATCGTTGCCATGTCTTCCTATACAGTACAGGGCCGGACTAGGGGCTGGTCATCCTGCAGGCCAGCTGCCAAGCAGGGCTATGGGACAAAGGAGTGAAGGAGCTCTGCCTTAAATTAATTCAGATTGTCTGTTCCTCTCACCACTCAGCCAGGCCAAGGCACCAACTCTCTCTCCCACCCACCTCACGTTCCCTCTGGCAGACCAGCTGTGACCCAAATCACTAAGGAGAGAACTGAAGAGAAAGATCTGGGGAAAGAACACTGCCCAGATGAGAAGACTGGTAAGGAGTCCGTTTAGATTAGTGTTTCCCACTCCAATGTACTGTGGGTCTATGTCTTGTGTGTGCATGGCATTAGAATGCTGAATACTACCCGCCCTCCAAGACACCTACAGCACCCGGTGTCACAGGAAGGCCAAAAAGATCATCAAGGACATCAACCACCCGAGCCACTGCCTGTTCACCCCGCTATCACCCAGAAGGCGAGGTCAGTACAGGTGCATCAAAGCTGGGACAGAGAGAATGAAAAACAGCTTCTATCTCAAGGCCATCAGACTGTTATATAGCCATTACTAGCACATTAGAGGCTGCTGCTGCCTATTGAAATCACTGGCCACTTTAAGAAATGGAACACTAGTCACTTCTAATAATGTTTACATATCTTGCACTACTCATCTCATATGTATACACTGCATTCTATTCTATAATATTCTACTGTATCTTAGTCCAGGCCGCTCTGTCATTGCTTGTCCATATATGTATATATTCTTAAATCCCATTTCTTACTAGATTTGTGTGTTTTGGGTACATGTTGTGAAATTGTTAGATATTAATCGTTAGATATTACTGCA